TTATAAAGGCTATTCAACTGGTTTATCTTATTTTATCATTTCGCTTTTGTTTGGAAAATGTAGCTTTATTTTATTGCTAAATGTGAATGATTATAAAAGGAATGCCACCTTTTTTGGCACTTTTATATTTCTATTTGGCACTTTTTTATCGTCAATTTTGCACCTCATAACTAAGGATAGTTGCCAGCCCTGATTGGAAAATTTCTGCTGTGTTTTGGGGCAACAACTCGTCTGCAGTAAAAAAGCATATAATCTGTGTTTCAAAAGTGTGTGAAAACCAATCAATTAACTTATATGATCTCGGTTCCGATATTAAATAATCAATAATTGTTTATACCCGCATTTTGGCACATTGGCTCGTTGAATGTGCCATCTAATAAATAGTGTCGTAATTCCCCTTAGCTGCTTTTAAATGATGTCGCAAATTGCTGGCGGAGACATGAATACAGTGTAAGAAAATTTTTTTTCTATAATTGTTTCCTTACAGAAAAGTTGGTTTCTTTTCCGCCTTAGACATTCCGAATTCGTTAATTTTTTTCTATGAATCGACATATTTTAAGCATTGTTGACGCTATTTCCATTTGAATGAGGAAATAGCGTCAATGACTTTATTTCCAAATTTTTGTTGACTTTATTTCGCTTTTGAAAAGGTAATAATGTCAATTGACTTTATTTCGCACCAGGGTGGGAAATAAAGTCAATTGACCTTATTTCCATTGACCTTATTACCTGTCACCAACAAGAGGAGTGCAATGGGGTATAGTCATTGCGCTGGGTATGCAGTTACAGTTGCATGGCTATACTCAATCCCGACTCTTGCGTCCTCGTTCGCGCACTCTGGGCAACGTGAGCAACCCATGTGCGAGATGCGGTAACCAATCCGAGTGGAGCCTTGGGTCACGGCAGAAAGGGAGGGAGCTTCGTTGGGGCCACTCCGACTTATTCGGTTTAAGGGCTCACTGAAGTCTGCAGCGTCTGTTCACCAGTAGGTGCGGCTGAAAGCGGGTGTCTGCTTGGAGCAAGCGGCTCGCTATATAAACGTGTATTTGGTTGCGAAACCACCCCCGTCCCAGCAATGGGTTGTGCGCTGGGCTTGGGACCCGCCACGTAAAAACCACGTCCAGTGAAGAAGCAAGGCAAAGCATTGGATGAGACCTCCCCTTATGATGACGACCACGGCAAACGTTGAAAGGACAACGATTTGAGGGCATGCACCTGGAATGTCCGGACCCTTAATGGGGAAGGTGCCTCTGCCCGGCTGGTTG